TCCGTTTGCCGTAGCTCACAGTCTAGACCATGATACAGGATAAATAGTAGGGTCTTTTGCACAAAGCCCACGCTAGTGACCTCAAGTGCCCTGCTATGAATAATGACCACTATTAGAGGGAGATGATGGCAGCAGCAGCAATATACCACTGTCTGTCCTCCTGAGCCAGGAGAGGGAAAGTGCAGCCCTGCAGATACATGCTATGCTAATTATTTTTGTAGGCATCTATTTATTTTAACAGACAAAACAATTCTTCAAGTTTAGCCTGAAATACCTTGTCATTAACCATCTGTGGTGAGGGTTTTTTAAAAAAAATTTTTTCAGGCTCGATCTATATGTGCGATCCATCCTGGTCCCAAAATATCAGAAAAGAAGATTCATCAATATATCAATATGCAGCTTCTGCGACGGAAGGTTCTCTTTGACTCTGAGTGATGACACACATGGCAAGTTATGACTTTGGTATAAAGGTTTGGCAGCCATTGGAGTCCACCATTTTTAGCCTGTTTATTATTATACTTAACCTCTTTAATAAGTACATGGTATGACCACAATCAAAGGGCCAGGGGTTTGTTCTCCTGCGTGGTATAATATTTGTTTCTGGGACCTGGTATATGTAGTGTTTTCTGAGGGGGAGTGGGGGTGGGAAACAACATAAAGCACAATGTGTTTTGTTTTGTTTTACTTTTTCATTCCACACTGAGCACTTGGGTTCAAATTCTATTGAGGTAAAATATCATTTTCATAATGATTTTTTTTTTTTTGAACTACAGAGTTGGAAATATTACAGAATATGTGCACTGAACTACATTTGCTTGACAAACATTTATATCAGTATGACTAAAATGTAGTTAAGGCATTCATTTCTCATGCCAGTCATAACAAATATGATGAGATGGTTATTCAGCTACCTTACTAATGATGCAGCCCAAATATCTCAGATGTATTTCATTCCCTTTTCTACCTCACCAAGGGAACTTGATGTGGATTTTTTTCAAGTCTGTGTCATTCAGTTCTAATGGCAATGCCTGCTAACAGGTGAGCACTTATTAGGAATACAATGAAAAGGACGAATGGAAATAGCAAAACTATTCATTTTTCTATAATGTGAAAGGAGGCTTTTAGCTTTCTGTAAATTCATCTCTTCGCACATTCTTCACTATCATCCAACCCAGGTCTATATTGTTTACGTAAAAGATTGACATTTCAAGTTGTGTTTTACAGAAATCCATGCTCAACAAGGTCTTTCTTTGGCAGGCTGGATAGAATATGATCCCCGGGATCATAATTTGATTTGATTGATTTGATTCTATCTGTTTGACCAACTCCAAGCTCTGCTTCTGTCATAAAATAATTGAGATTCTGGACCAGAAAAAAAAATGGAGAAGACCTTTGTCATGGATTGAATTGTGTCCCCCAAAAATATTTGTCAACTTGGCTAGGTTGTGATTCCCAGTACTGTATAATTGTATAATCTGATGTGATTTCCTTATGTGTTGTAAACTCTATTACTATGGTGAGGTTATACTGATGACATCTACAAGATTGGATAGTGTCTTAAACCAATCTCTTTTGACATATAAAAGAAGTGAGCAGAGACACATGGGAACATCATACCACCAAGAAAGCAGTTCCGGGAGCAGAGCTTGTCCTTTGGATCTGAGGTTCCTGTGCAGAGAAGCTCCCAGACCAAGAGAAGATTGATGACACAGACCTTCCTCCAGAGCTGACAGAGAAAGCATTCCCTTGGATGCCCTGAATTTGGACTTGTAGCCTACTGGACGGTGAGAGAATAAACTCTTCATTAAAGCCTTCCACTTGTGGTATTTCTGTTAGAGCAGCACCAGATGACTAAGACAACATTTACAGCCTCAAGTAATTAAAAAAAAAAAAAAACCTTACTAGAAATTTAATCCAGACATATCCCTATGTGATCCAAGTAAAAACTTGATCTGGGTAGAATTGTAAAATAGAAATTTTTCTTTAGAATATTCCCCACCTGCAAACACATATTTCCCTTTCCACACATATTTCTGTGTTAATCAGTCTGTTTGCATTCAGGGACATCAGCTAGTGAAGACTAGGCAGGGAAGAGTTCTAGTAAACCTTAAAGCCTAGATATCCAATTACAGTGTGTCTCAGGGATACTCCACCGGGCTACATTACCACATAACCTCCGTGACAGGACTCATGTTCACATGAAAATTATCTCATATGATCACATGCTCCTCAAGATGCTGAGGTATTATGCAAACAGCCCTATTAATGTGACTTCATCAACTTGAGTTCGTTAATAAATACATAACTATTTGTAAAGTGCTCCACTAAGTGCTGCAGAAGACACGGAAAAGTAAATTTCATGGCCCCTGTGCTTGAATAGGAAACTCTGGTGGCGTAGTGGTTAAGAGCTATGGCTGCTAACCAAAAGATCAGCAGTTCAAATCCACCAGGCACTCCTTGGAAATTCGATGGGGCAGTTCTACCCTGTCCTTTAGGGTTGCTATGAGTTGGAATTGACTCGATGGCAACGGGTTTGGTTTGGTTTTTTGACGGTGGAATAAGAAGCCGTGGCGCAGTGGTTAAAGTGATCGACTGCTAACTGAAAGGTCAGTGGTTCAAAACCACTAGCGGCTCCAAGGGAGAACGATGTGGCAGTTTGTTTCCCTAAAGATTTACAGCCTTAGAAACCCTATGGGGTCGCTATGAGTCAGAATCCACTCGATGGCGGTGGGTTATTTTTATTTTTTTGGTGATTGAGTAGTTTATGTTCTATCTGAGGAGAAAACACACATACATACATACACACACATGCACACATGTAATGATGAAATACTGATCTACACTGCAAATGATAAAATATTGGCGTATACCATAACATAAAAGATAAAATGATAAAATATTGTTCTACACTACAATATAAAAGATGCCACGAGGATGTTTATGATAAATTGGTAAATAAGTGGCATTTCAAGTATCATAGGGTTTGTGTCTGTCTCTTTGCTTTGATGTGTGCCACTAGTAACGTAAATAATAATTAAAGTATTTAAATTTATGGATGATTTATATTTTAACAATTATATTGACTCAAGGTCATCTTTATAAAGATGTCACTCTATTCACTTACATTCTGATGTGATGACTTGAGGGCAAATGAAACGGAGTGCCCGAGGCATGCACATAAACTTGGCTACCACCCTCCTGGACCTATCTGAAATTTCATAACTCCCACCTGCTACTTTCTAGCCCTCTTTACTTTGCTCTGTTTTTTTAATCACCTTGATCACCTTCTAACATACAATATATTTTCCTTATTTATCAGTTTTATTCTTAATTACCTCTCTCTACCTGCTGAAATTACTTTAAAGAGGTCTTTTGCAGCAGATTTGCCCAATGCAATATGTTGTTTGATTTCTTGACTGCTGCTGCCATGGGCGTTGATTGTGGATCCAAGTAACACAGAGTCCTTGACAATTTCAATCTTTTCTCTGTTTATCATGTTGTTGCTTAGGGGTCCAGTTGTGAGGATTTTTGTTATCTTTATGTTGAGGTGCAATCCATACTGAAGGCTGTAGTCTTTGATCTTCCTCAGTAAGTGCTTCAAGTCCTCTGCACTTTAGCAAGCAAGGTTGTGTCATCTGCATATTGCCGGTTGTTAATGAGTCTTCCTCCAATCCTGATGCCACATTCTTCTTCATATAGTTCAGCTTCTCGGATTATTTCCTCAGCATACAGATTAAATAAGTATGGTGAAAAGATACAACCCTGACCTACACCTTTCCTAATTTTAAACCATGCAGTATCCTTTTGTTCTGTTCGAAAGACTGCCTCTTAGTCTAGGTAGAGGTTCCTCATGAGCACAATTAAGTGTTCTGGAATTCCCATTCTTTGCATAATTATCCATAATTTGTTATGATCCACACAGTCAAATGTATTTGCAGAGTCAATAAAACACAGGTAAACATCTTTCTAATATTCTCTGCTTTCAGCCAAGATCCATCTGACATCAGCAATGATATCCCTTGTTCCACATCCTCTTCTGAATCCGACTTGAATTTCTGGCAGTTCCCTGTCAATGTACTGCTGTAACAGCTTTTGAATGATTTTCAGCAGAATTTTACTTGTGTGTGATATTAATGATTTCTTTAAAGTGTTCAAAAGCAAAGATGTCACTTTGAGGACTAAGGTGTACCTGACCCAAGCCATAGTGTTTTCAATCACCTCATATGCATATGAAAGCTGGACAATGAACAAGGAAGACCAAAGGAGAATTGATGCCTTTGAGTTGTGATGTTGAGAAAGAATATTGAATACACCATGGATTGCCAGAAGAACGAACAAATCTGTCTTGGAAGAAGTACAGCCGGAATGCTCCTTGAAAGGGAGAATGATAAGACTTTGTTTCGTGTTGTTTGGGCAAGTTATCAGGAAGGACCAGTCCCTGGAGAAAGACCTCATGCTTGGTAAAGTAGGGGGTCAGTGACAAAAAGGAAGACCGTCAGCAAGACGGATTGACACAGCGGCTGCAAAGATGGGCTCAAGCACAGCAACGACCGCGAGGATGGCACAGGACCGGGTAGTATTTGGTTCTGTTGTACATAGGGTCAGAACCAACTCGACGACACCTAACAACAACAACTTGCTGAAATGGAAGCACTAAGAAGCTACGGCCTTTGTTTATGTTGTTTACTGATGTATCTCAAGTTCCTAGAAGATTATCTGTCACATAATGACTGTTCAATAAATGGGTGCTATTGTTATTGATGTTGCTGCATGCATATAGGACTACTCAGTGGCGTGAAAGCCTCTAGAATATTTTTCTATGCAATAAAAAATTTGAGAAACACTGATATAGGCAAGAGTGCTATCAATTCACAACAGCATAGAAATATTGTATTTTATTAAAACAGTTTAATTTGAAATGAGCCATAGACTTCCTAGAGACCTCTACTATACAGTTTAACATAAGTTGAAATATGTGTTCCTCACTTAGTCATTCTCCATCACACTCTGAAATTATCACCTTCTGAAATTATCATCTTATTTATCCGGTCACCAGTGCCCAGAACAGGCCTTGGTTTAGCACACCTATATATTTGTAGCAGGAATGCTTTTTCCTCCAGCTCCCAACTCCAACAAACCTAGAAATATATTAAAAAAAAAAAAAAAAAGTTATTATTGGGTGCTTCATAATTCAGTGGGACATTTGTTCTTCAGTTGCAGAATTCTCAGCTTCTGTGCAGGAGACCCTAGCTCCATTCCCAGCCAGTGCACCTCATGTACAGCCACCACCTATCTGTCAGTGAAGGCTTGTGTGTTGCTATGAGGCTGAACAGGTTTCAGCAAAGCTTCCAGACTAAGATGGGCTAGGAAGAAAGGCCTGGATGTCTACTTCTGAAAATCAGATGGTGAAAACCCCTGTAGATCCCAACAAACCGATCCATAACCAATTATGGGGATGGCACAGGACCAGGCAGCGTTTTGTTTCACTGTATATGATGTTGATTCAGGAGCAATTCCTCGGCAGCTAAAAACAACAAAAACAACAAATCAGTAGATACTAATTTTTAAAAGAAAAATGAGACTATTATACAATGGAACAGTTATCCTTTTAATTTCCTATTTTTACTTTTGTTTTAAAAGGATATTTGAGGTTCTGTCATCAAAGTATTCAAGGACATCAAATCAGTGCTTATGTCCTGACATCTATGGGTCAAAACAAGGACAAAAAAAGAAGAATAGAAGCTGATGGTAATATGCACAGGCTGAAATAAACAGGCTGCTGAGGAGAGGCTTGTGAAGAAACTGCACCAATGGGACATCTAATGATTGACAAATTCTAAGCACCAGAAGAATCACAAGTGAAGGAAAAACAGGTCTTGCTGACAAGTGAAGAGCAGTGAGAATGGAGCTGAGCTGCACATATTTTTTAATGAGGTGTTAAGCAAATCACCAAGAGAGGTGGATAATGGCTGTGATGAAGAGTTGGCCAGAGTGTGAGGGAAAAAAGCCCACAAAATTAAGTGACACTTGGTAAATCATAGGAGGACGTGAAACCTGAGAGAGCTTTTGGAAAGAAAGCTCAATCCCTTGTAACACTCCAATTCCCCTTAGTAATCGAATTGGGCAGATCATTAAAATTATGTGTGAAAAGATAGGTGCTTTGGAAAAAACGGCAAGGGTGCCAAGAAATAAATAGAGCAATACAATTACTATTTCTACAGTTGAAAGAAATTAGGAGTACAAGGTACTGAAGGAGATGCATTTAAGAAGTACTCATTGGAAAACAGTGAGTGGATCTGACGGAAATAACAGGAGCAATAAAACTGGCCACAGGAGTGACGAGTTATGCCAAAAAAGAAGAATATTTAAAATTGGATACATCTGTATAAAATAACTCCACTAACAGTGGAGGAATTTAAAGAAGCGATTTGAAGAGCAATATGAGGAAACGGGAGGATAAGATTTTAGTTTCTCTCTGCGAATGGTACGAAAGATAGGATTGTCATAGGCATCACAATCAGAGAGCTCCCTGGCATTTGGCTAAGACCACCTATGTTTTCCTAAACAAAGGTGATCCGCTGGGCTCTAATTATTTTAAATGGTATGGTCAGTTTTCTGGATTAAATTGAGGATAAGTGGTTTTACATGTATATAATGCCTGTTTTGTGCTGGATACTGTGCTTGACATTTTAACATATATAAACTCGTTTGCATCTCACAACAAACCTGTCATGTGAAAAGTCATGATCACAACTTGTAGCTGGGGAAATTGAGATCATACAACTCTCAAATAGTGCAGCCAGGATTTGAATCGAAGTGTAGGTGGCTGCAAAGCCAGACGCCACCGAGCAGCTTCTTGCATTAAGTAAATGGATGATGTAGTATCAAATTCTTAAAGAGAAAAATAACTGAAGGAGACAAATGTTGTGCTTGAGGTGCTTATTCACACTCAGATTCAGACAGCAACCTTGGATAAGTTGTTTTCTCTTACCTGGGCTTCAGACTTGCTAAGGACTGTTATTTTATGAGACAATATCAATATAATAACAAAATCATCATCTTTAGTAAGTGGCACACACTAATTTTTTAAAGTCCTTAGGGTCTCCTTACTGTGTTTTACTGGACATGATGAAATTTCCCAAACCTCCCAATGAAGGCTGCGGTAAGAGGAGGGGGAGCATCAGAATTTAGACATTCATTCATTCATTCCTTTATTAACGACCATTTATTGAGTGCTTAGTATGAACCAGGCACTTTACTAGGTTCCTAGGATAGAATAAACAACATCTTCATGATCTCCGGCCATGTAAAATTGATAATAATCTATTGGTAGATACAACCATAAAGAGATAATTACAGGTATGCGGAGTAGATGTTATTAAGAGAAAAAGAGGTTCTTACTGGAACCCATTAGAGTAATACCTAATTTCTGTGTGCAGGAGGCTTCCTGGCTGAATGGGGTGCCTCTGGACACTTACCAGCAGAGCTAGGCTTGCCAACCCACAGAACCAGAGAGCTGAGTGCCTTCTGGCTGGAGTTTACTGGTAGAGTGGGATGCCTCCAGGCACCTATTGTTGGAGCTACAGAGCTTTGGAACACTTGCCCCAGCAGGGCAGATGCAGGCGTGAGGCCCAAGGGCCCAGAGGCCACAGGAAACAGAAGCTGAAGAGATAAGGAACACAAGAAGCTGAACTGCCTCAGTCTCAAAAGGTATGGCCAGGACTGCAGGGGTTTCTAAGGGTGGAGTAGCCACTCAGATGGACTAGGAGAATGGTGCCTAAAGCCAAGGGAGCAGAGCTGCTGTCCCAGTGGGCCTGGAAGACAGAGCTGAAACCCAAGGTTGAGGAGCCTCCACTCAGAATACTGAGTGGCCAATACCTAGAGTCTGGAGGAGAGCAGGGCTATTGTGTGAATGGTCTCAGAAAACAAAAGATTATTTTCAAGCCTTGATGACTAACGTAATATGTTCTGCTGACTTGCTTGGTGCCTGTTATCCTGTCTTTTCCTCCCATTTCTCCCATTTGTAATGGAAATGTCTAGCTTGGGCCTGTTCTGCCATTGTACCTTTGGAAGCAGATAACTTGTATTCTAGATTTCACAGATGAAGAGAAACTTTTGGATTTTGGACTTGGATTTAAGACTTTTGCTATGATATGATGGAGTGAATATGTTTTACATGTGGCAAGAACATGAATTTTGGGGGGCCAAAGGGTGGAATATCATGGATTGAATTGTGCCCCCCAAAATATCTGTCAACTTGGCTGGGTCATGATTCCCAGTACTATAGATTGTATACCATTTTGCCATCTGATGTGATTTCCTTATGTGTTGTAAACTCTATCACTATGATGTAATAAGATGGATTAGTGGCAGTTATATTGATGAGGTCTATCAGATTAGATAGTGTCTTAAGCCAATCTCTTTTGAGATATAAAAGAAAGAAGTGAGCAGAGACACTTGGGAACATCATACCACCAAGAAAGCAGTGCCAGGAGCAGAGTGTGTCCTTTGGACCTGAGGTTCCTGTGCAGAGAAGCTTCCAGACCAAGGGAAGATTGATGACATGGACTTTCTGCCAGAGCCGATGGAGAAACCATTCACCTGGAGCTGATGCCCTAAATTTGGGCTTGTAGCCTACCGGACTGTGAGAGAATAAATTTCTCTGTGTTAAAGCCATCCACTTGTGGTATTTCTGTTATAGTAGCACTAGATGACTAAGACAAACAGGAAACTAGATGTCTCAGTTATCTAGTGCTGCTATAACAAAAATACCACAAATGGAATGCTTCAACCAACAGAAACTTATTCTCTCACAGTCTAGTAGGCTAGAAGTCCAAATTCACGACGTCAGCTCCTGGTGAAAGCTTTCTCTCTCCGTTGGGTCTGGAGGAAGGTCCTCGTCATCAGTCTTCCCCTGGACTAGAAACTTCTCAGGACAGGGACTCCGAGTCCAAAGGACGCACTCTGTTCCTGGCTCTTGTTTCTTGGTGGTATGAGATCTCTCTGTCTCTCTGCTTGCTTCTCTCTTTTATACCTCCAAAGAGATTGACTTTAGACAAAACCTAATCTTGTAGATTGAGTCCTACTTGATTAACATAACTGCCTCTAATCCTGCCTCATTAACATCAAAGAGGTAGGATTTATAACACATAGGAAAATTACATCTGATGATAAAACGGTGGACAATCACACAATACTGGAAATCATGGACTAGACAAGTTGACACATATTCTTGGGGGACAGAATTCAATCCATGACACTAGACTATGGTGTGTGCATAGTATGCTATGGAAACACACAGGAGTGGCTCTTGCCCTGAGTGCTTGGCCAGGCGCAGAAGAGGGAGGCAGTTCTTTCTAAATACCAAGTGCAGCGTGTATCTGGAGCATGAGTAGCAGAATGTTGACAAGAGTGTTGACAATGAAGTGAACAGAAGATACCCGCTGTGCCCTGAATGTCTACATATTTTCACAAAAAAGTAAAACGAAGGTATGAGCCACAAAGAAGAGTCTGTACCTTTGATGAGAATGTGCAGAGCATGTAGAAGCTAACTCCTGGCAATAAGAAAGCAACAAAATTTACAACTCTCTGTGGCATCTAAGTTCCTTGCCAAAGTGATGTAATCAGTGATGTTTGCGTGAAATGTCAAATACTTCAAAAGTCTTACAGAATCCAGGATGCTAAATGTGTCTGTAATTCACTAACAACATGATAAGCCCACACTTACACAGAATGCTTAAACAAGATCTGCAGAACATTCATTAACATGTTTGAATACCCACAACACGGCATCAACAAAAGGCCCAGCCATGTTCTTTGTTCAGGAAGGTGATTTTCGATCATTTTGTTACAGAGGCACGTATACTTCAGAAGGACACAAACAAAACAGAACACTGGACGTACTGGAAATTTTAGACAACCGAAGACATTTCAGAAAGCAGGATCTTTTTCAGCCAATTCACATAAAAGTGTCTCTTAGCCACCAAAGCATACAAATGAATGGTCATTTTGGGTGTACTACCCAGGAAAAGAGGTCAGATTTTCTATGTTTCCCTTTCTTTATTGACTTTGAATTGTGTTTAGTAACTAAGTGTATCATTCTTTAGATATATCGCTAGACAGATTACCATTTTCACTA